ATGTTAAGTTGGGTATGCTAACCAAGTATTATATCTGCCATATGATACGCTTCTTACTGTTCATTTAGGCTTCTGAAAACTGTTTAACTGATTCCTTCTTTGCAGTCTGACTTCAGAGTAGATACTGGGTGCCTGCTCTGGAGCTAGGTTCACCTTGTTGCCTGTGCTTCGCAGCAGAGTTGTTTGGAAATCTGTTAGCTGCTGCTTTAAAAGAGACTTTTCCACTGTGACCTATAACAAGTTTCAGATTTTCTTATATGCTTCTGTAGGAAAAAGTTAAAACCAAATTATCTTCTTTTCACTGAACGTGGATGACATCCACAGTCACCATTTCCTGCCTCCAGCTCTGCTGTGTGGCCTGGATTGGTTTGATGCAGGTGCTGGTGGTGGGAATGCCCTCTGGTGGCTTCTGCAGCTGAGAGGGCTGCGGGACGTGCTGAGGAGTCAAGGGCAAGTCATAGTGAAGATTGATACATCCAGAAAGGAAAATAAGTTTTGAGCATTTTTTGCTGGTTGCTTTCTAGTTCCTCTTTCTCTTTCTGGATTAAATCCCAATCCTTCCTCCCCTTTGGAAAAAGTTCTCGTGAATTCAAACACCAGATAGTAACTGGGTATCTTGTATATCTCTAGATCCATAGCAACTTGCCATGGAGTTTTATAAAATAATGTTTTTTTCCTGTATTTTCTTTCTAAACAAGTAGTAAGTGGAAGAGATGTACTTGCTTGCGTCACTAGAATAATTTTTTGGTTTGTGCGTATGTTACTGGTTTTTGTTTTGGTGAGGGTGTGTGCTTTTTTTTTGGTGTTTGGGTTTTTTTTTTTGTTTGTTTCTTTTTTTTGGGGAGGGGGGTTTAAAGTAATTTTTTTTTTTTAAAGCAGTGGAGTCAGGACTTTTAAACTTGTCCTCTGCTGTGTCTGCAGTTTGCCACTGGGATAACCTGAAAGGGAAATGCAGATGAATGAATGCACATGACTGAAAAACAGAGGAACATGGTGGAGCTGCAGGACATCGTGGCTCCATTCCCTCCCTGGCACCTGTGGTGGCTCTGAGCGGAGCCAGTGCCCAGTGGTATCCCTGGAGAGGGCCTTCCCAGCCTGCATCCCATGGCCCCCTTGCCATCGGCATGTTTCCAGGCTTATTTTTAGCTGCTGATTTAACAGGCGTGTGGCAGATATGGCATACTCTGAGCAAAATGGCAGCCAGCAAGGCATGGTGACACCTCTCCCAAGATCCTGGCAGGATTTCAGCCATCCAAGTAATGTGTCGGCTGGTACTGGGTTACGGCATGGTCTCAGGGCAGACCTTGCCTGATGCCACCTGAAATGTTCCCTTGTCTTAAAGCAGGGGTTAAGGACTTGACATGCCTTTGATGTAGTGAAGAGTTGTATTTATAGCTTTTAATTTTTAGAGTGGAATTGAAGGAAAAAAAAAAAAAGTATTTTGCAGAGTGCAGAGGCTCCGTCCCAGGTCTTTTCCTTCTTCTCTGGTCTCCCAGTGTCTGCAGAGCCAGCTGAGGTGGTGTAACTGGGCTGTCCCCTGCTGAGGGTAGCACGGGCAGCTTGCCAGAAGCCAGAGAGCTGTACAGAGTCTGCACATACATGGCACAGGATTTCAATTAGTGATAAGTACATGCAGGGTGGGTTTTTTATAGGCTGCTGTGAGTGTGCGCAGCACTTTTCAGCAAAAGCAGGCAAAATATTCTTTGAGGCTTTGGGGAAAATTAGTGTCTACAGGAACAAAGTTTCATAGAAACAGGGTTTAAATTCTTAGTATTTGGCTTCTTTTTTTTGAGAGGACTGTACATGCTGTGAAATGCATAATGCCTGATAATAGTCTCATTTTGTTGTTGTTTGCATTTAGAATGGGGAAAGTCTATTCATAAAAGTAACTCTACCAAAAAGGCTTGCACAAGTACTTGCTTGCTAATGCACGGCTGAGTGTGGGGTCCCTTGGCAGGACTTTCTGCAGGCCCTGGGCAAGCTATTCCTGACCCACAAGACCAGGATCCAGGTCCAAGCAGCCCCTGACCCAGCTCCGGCTGGCACTTGCCTGCCAGGTCACCTCAGGTGGCTTCCCCTCTTCAGGATGTGCAGCTCCCCTAAAGCTGTGGGGCAGGGGAAGGATGCCAGCCTTTCTTCTGTTGGGCACTTAAATACATTTAACAAAAAAATCGATGTAATTTCAGGTGTGTTACTCAATGAAGTCATCCTTCGGCTTGGTTGAAGAGGAATTCTGAACAGTGTCGTAGATGAGGGATTAAGAATGACTTTTACTGTGGTTTTGTGGCTTTTCTCCTTATTTGATCACTTTGGTGAGGACTGGTAAAAATCCTCATACTTGCTGCTGCAGTTTGCCTCAACCCATGCTGGTTTGGATGTGGCGCATGTGGAATCAGAGGATGGGGAGCTCATTTTATCAACGTGAGTGTTAAAACTCTCCTTCATGGGAGCTGTGGGAGGTTGTTTGCCTCTTTAGGAGGATGCAGGTTGGATTTGCTTCCTCCTCCTTCCCCTGAAAAATACAGGGCAAGGGTTTGTGAAAATACACATGTAAATATATATTTTAGGGAATAGAAATAAACTTAAAAGAAAACAAATAGGCACATGCAACTTGAAGAGTTTTCCTGGTTTCCATGCCGTTGTCCACTTCCTGTATCTTAAATGCCTGTGCTCCAGCCAGCTCATATTTCTTGTGTTCGGCTTCCTTTCCTGGCAGAACTGAACTGAACTCTTTGCAGGTCCTTCCCAGCTTCAGCCAGGTTTGGCAGGAGGAAGGGGTTGAAAGAGCTAGGGGTGGGGGGAACTTGAATGTGGTGGGTGCTGGGAGGAGGAAGGGAGCTGGTGGAGGGGAGGCTGCGGTGTGTGTGTATCTCTGAGCTGACCTGCAGCACTGGAGGTGGTGTGATGGCTCCCCACCAGCAGATAACTACCCCTGTTGCTTTTTAATTGAGCATGGAGGATGCAGCCATGAATCTGTAGAAAACCTGGCAACTGCTCTGCTGTTGGCTGCATGCTGCTGTTTAATTCTTAACCCGCTCTGTTGTTAAATTCATTTTTTGTCTCTTCTAAAGCCCTTTTTCTTTATGCTCAGTGTCCCCCTGTCTGAAGGGCTCTCCGAGTGGACTGGCTGCCAGTTTCTGCCAGGCTCACCATGTACTCCCCTCCACCCAGCAGCCTCCAGGGCAGCTGGCTTGCCCAGCTCCACTGCGGCTGCGGGCCGGCATCATTAAAATCAAAGTGTTCTGCCTCTGCTCTTTGAACCATTGATGTGTTGAAAGAAAAAGAGCATGTCTCATGAGCCACCTTTGTCTAGACTTGCAGAGTTACCTGGTGTAATGCTGAGGAAAATGCTGGTGTAAGCTGTTCAGCCCCGGGAAGCGCGCATAGGGGCTGAGGAGGAAGGACAACATCGCTTGTGTCCTGCAGCCACCCTCCTTGAGAGCAACAGACCCCTCTGAGCTGTCTGTTTTAAACTTCCTATACTGGATGGCTCAGTGATCATGCTGTGTATAACTTAAGTTCATCATGTTTCCAGCATAACTGTTGGAGGTTAAATACTGGCAATTGTTAAGAATGCATTGATGTGCATCAAGAATGATAAAGGCAAAGTCACTTGGTATATGGATGTTTGAAACTGGGAGTTTCACTCCCGGAGGTTAAGTGGTGAGCACTGCTTCATCCCTTCTCTAAGAACAGAAGTTGAGTACTTGGATTCAGAATTTTTTGGTCATTTTAACTGATGGTGAAGCAATTACTGAAATGTTTCTCATATTCTGCAAAACAAATCTATGTCAGGAAACAAATATGGAAGTAAATGGCTTGGCTTTCATCACCAAGCACTTAAGCAGTCTGCTAATGATTTGAAAAGGCAGCAACAGAAGATATCTGAAAGAAAAATGGCAATATAAAATTTGTTTTTAAGTTTCATCTGCTTCAGTAGAATTAAATCTGAAAAATGAAGACTAATACTTCCATGTAAAAAGAATGGTAATGGCTCAGTGCCTTGGTCAAGGAGAGTCACTTTGTTTTGAACATACTACTTGCTGCTGCTTTCAACTGAAATACTATGGCATGTGATTATCCAGAGAGTTTTGATAGGAACCAAGTAGCACAGGACTGACAAGCCCTTCTGAGTCATCCAGCCCTGCTTGTTGGGTTAAATCCCAGTGAAGATTGACTGTAGTTAATCTCTATTCCTTCGTATTGGTGATTGGTTAAATGTAGAGTTTAAGAAACTGTGGGGGGGAAAAAATATCTTCTTTTCAGAAGCCTGTTAAAGAATTCTTTTTTTTTTTTTTTTTTTTCCCACCATAAAACCCCCGAAGATTATCTTTTCCTGTAAAGACCAAGTATCCTGGAAAAGATTTGAAATGCACAGGAGAATTCACTGCTTTACTGTGTTAGAGGCAGCATGTTCCTTTGCTGGAAACAGCCTGTTTTCGGGCAAGATGTAGTTACCTGTCTTCAACAGCAGGGACATGAAGCTGGGCTGCCGAAAGGAAACCCCCTCTTCTGAGAGTGGTGTCTCCCTTAAACACATCTTGATTTTGCCATCTAGCAATTGTTTCTGCAGGTTAAAGTTATTCCAAGTTATGCCCAAAGCATATGTAGTTTTACAGACCTTTACAGTTCATAATAATTTAGCTTTTTAATACCATGTTGAAAGAAGGTCTCTTCTATTTTACATGCCTGCTTGGTACTGAGAGGGTTCTTGGTTTTGTAGTAGCATGCTTCCATATATGCACTGTAGTTGCATGTGGTGTTTCTGTGACTTAAAAATAATTAAGAAATTGCAGTAAATTTATGAATGTTTTAAATTAAGGAAATGACTTGGGAAACAAGACAGCAAGAAGGAGACCTTGGTTGCTTTGCATTTTGTATAAGGAATTGATGAAAGGCATTGCTAAATGCTGATTTTGGGGTGGTTATGTGTCTTAAAACTAAGACAACAGTGAAAGTGTACACAGCTCTTATGGCTCTTTTTTTTCTGCAGCACTACAATGGTAGATGGAGTGATGATTCTTCCTGTGCTGATCATGATGGCCTTTCCCTCCCCGAGCTGGCAAGGTGAGTGATGTGTGTCATGGTGCTGTGGGAGAGCTGGGTTCGAGCAGTGGCTCAGCTGCTGGAGCCGCTGGGCATGGCTCCATGGCACCCCACTCGCCTTTGTGAGCTGACAGCATGCATGAGCTCCTCTCGGGTGCAAGAGGTCTGCTTTTCCATTGGAAGTTGCTTCAAAGGACATTTTTTGCCCATTTCTGTATAAAAGTTATAGCACGTGCAACTGGCATAGGCCTTCCTAGGGCTGGGGCAGGTGGGGTGTGGGAAGCCTTATTTGAACAGCAAATTATTCAGTATGTAACAAGTAGGTCTTTCTAGCCCATGGGCTGAGGTGCAATTGTGTTGCGTTCTCATAAAGTAAAGGTTTTTTTAATGTGGGAATACTCTTTGGAATACTTAGTATGGTGTTTGATAACTTTTCCATGGTTGTTCCAGTAAGGTCTCTGGATATGGAAAGTGACTACTTCATTAGTTTTTTACATACTTACATGCACATCGAGGTTTTATGACAACAATGTGTTTAAGATTTGCCCCAGCAAAATGAGGGAAGGGTATTTCCACGGCCATGGAGAGGCAAAAATGATTCATTTGAAGGTGGTCTGGATGTTTTGGGAGTTGACCTCCTGAAAGATGCATAACTGCTACTTTGCAAACAGCCTTTTAAAAATGCTGAATAAAGGTTTTCTGCAAGTAACTTGGTTTTCTCACTTTTAAATTTTAAGTGACTTGAGAGGTGTGTCTAGCATTTGTTACGGCATATCTATCCTCTTATTTACCTTGTGAAATACCTATCAGAACTACTCTGCTGAAATGCATTTATCTTCAAATGTTGATGCAAATAATAAAAGGCAGAGTATGTTAAATGAAATGTTAGAATGGATGGTGGAAGGCCAAGATTAAAAATGCGTGGAGGTCTAGTGGTTGACTTCTACGAATAGGAAATCAACACAAAATTTAAAAAGGGAGGAACGTTGGATTAGTGTTTGTCAGAATATCTAAAACTGCTTATGTTATTGAGACAATATTATCTTGAAATAAAGTTTGGTAGCAGTCGTCACAGTGTACCTTCTTATCGCTCTTGAAGTGCAGCTATCTGCTTCTCAAACATTTGTTTTGGCTTTCAGAGTTGCTTATATTAAAAAATCTTAAATCACATGCCTTTCACATCCTTAACATGAAGAGCAGTAGATGAAGAGAAACATGCGGGGAAAAGGTGCCTGTTAATGTCTGAAGATCTGGTTAATTTCTCTTGTTTAACAAGAGGAATCAGACACTTGTGCTGCCTGCGCAGTGCAGCCTGTAGGGCAGCATTATCAACCCACCCTACAATTCTAAAGGTACCATGCAGGTGTTCATACCCTAGTGATTTGACCTGACTGCTTAAAAAAATGAAAGTAGTTTCTAGGGCTTCAGTGTTATCTTTCTGTTGAAAATATGCCCATAAGTGATCAGCAAGAAAAGAGTCATTAAATCCATGCCAAGAGTTTTTCTTTTCCTGGGACTGTGAGCTAAGACTTGGAAGTGCAGGATCATACCTCGCTCAGCTGGAGGAAGGGTAGACCTGGGCCAGATGTGCGTCTGGAACAGGCTTTGGATGGAGTTTGTGTGTAGGGCTGGAGCGTGTGAGTGGAGATGTGCAGATGATGTGTTCTTGCTGTCTGTCTGCCTGTGCTGACTGGATGTGTGCAAAGAACAGTTTCCTGTTTGTGATGTGGAGCTGCCATGCTGAGGGAGAGCTTGTCCAGTAGCATTTCATATAGATTTCTGTGTTTGGGCCTGCGTTTCTCTCCCACAGTGATAGAGCTCCTGTTTTCAAGGGAGAGCATGCCTTTGGAGATCCTTTGAGGGAATGGAAGTTGGTGCTCTGCTGCCTGTGAACAGGCCACGGAGGTGGGGCTGGTGCGCCCTGACCAGTGTGCTTTCCCATGTGCTTTTTCTGAATGCTTTCAAAAGTTGATGTTTTGGGGTAGAACACTGATTTGTCTTCCCTTTTCATAAAACAAGAAGTTAAAAAACTTTATGATTTCCCCTCCCCCCCCCATCTGTTTTATAACAGACCAGTCTATTTCCTTTCACTGTGATTTGGACCAGTTGGTTTCTTTGTGGGTCTGGATTTTTTTGGGGTGTTAGGTTTTGGTTTTGTGGGGTTTTTTACATTTTTAGTGAGTGAAAAATGTCTGGGCATAGCTTTGGGTAGCATTCAGAGGCAGATTGACTATTTCTACATTGCTGCTAGGCTTCAGAAGGTGAGATTAAACATGATCCGTCTTTAAAATAAGCAACCTACAGCCCAACAAAAAAATCAAACAATGTGTAGAATTCTAAGTGCAGAAACATATCACTTCCCGTCTTGAGTGTCCAGAAAATCCTTTAAAGGTTTACTGCAGTGCTTACTTCTGTGTTATTTCTTTATTAGCCCTGTAAAGTGGGGAAAGAGGCTTTTCTTCATTTGCCAAGAAACCAAGCTCTAAGGCAGAGCACTTTCTAAATAATGCAATGCCTTTGCTTAAGAGGGAGGTTTGTCACTTACTGGTGACTGTGCACAATAGAGTTTCCTGATCCTGATGGTCATGTCGGGAGCATGGTGCAGGAGGTGCTGCTGCCCTCTCTAGTGATGGTGGGGAAGGCATCTGGACCATGCTCTCCTCTGGCTGCCTCAGCTTCCCTGCCAAACGCAGCCTCACTCTTGGGTATGAGGAGTGGGCAGACTGGGAAGTGTCTCGTGTCACACCACGGCCAGGAAGTGTTTGGGAGCTACTGGAACTCCAGAAGCTGCTGTGTGGCTGATGGGAAGCTGGCTTTGGGAGCAACTCTGTCCCCAGCAGCTGGGCTCGGGCAGGGTGTCCCTCTGCAGAGCTGGGCGCATCTGCCCAACCTTGCAGCTTTATAACTGATGGTCAGTGGCCATATCACTTGTGCTGCTTCTGGTTTTGGGGGTTTTTGTAAGATGGAAGACAGTAAGGCTAAACAGCTGTTTCTTGGTACTGGAAACCTCAAAGACGTTTGTTAAATTAATAAATCCTATATAAAAATCAATGATTATAGGCTGCCCGGAGGAGTGGTGGAGTTGCCATCCCTGCAGGTATTTAAAAGATGTGTAGATGTGGCACTTAGGGTCATGGTTTAGTGGTGGACTTGGCAGTGCAAGGTGGACTCAATGTTAAGAATCTTTTCAAATGTAAATGATTCTGTGATTGTTATGGTTGTCGTGTAATGCTTGTTACTGTACACATAGAGAAAATAAAACTCAGAATTGAGCAGGCATCTCTACAAACTTCTAATTTGCTGTTTCCCTGAAATGGCTAAGAATCATAAAGGGAAGCTATCCACCCAAAAAGAACTAATGTACAGTTAAATGGACTCTGAAGATACTGTAATTTTTTTCAGGTCTGCTTTCCTTCATCTTCAATTCATTGTGATATGAAGCCCTGGCAAATTCCATCTCTTCCCCCCATCATAGTTACTGAGAAAATAAGTTAATATTGCTGCTTTGAAATATTCTGGCCTTTGAGCATGAAGTCTCTTTCATTCCACTAGAGATTTCAGCAGTTCCCTGAAATAAGGCTTCCCGGTGAACTGTAACCTTTCTGGTTTGATTTCAGGGTTTTCCATTTGGAAAGTGTGATCCCACTCAAAGCCTAGCAGCAAGCCTGCAAAAGGGACAACAGCCATAGTACAGCTCTGAGAGGTCTCGGGTTGGGAAGCTGGCTCCCAGTGGCTCTGAGGACTGGGACTGGCTGTGCGTGCCCGAGGTTAGCCGATGACTGCAGTGTCTGTGCATGTTCAGTATGCGACTAGTAAGGCACGGCGCCTTCCTGCTGCACAGCTGTGGGATGGGCTGGAGGAGAGCAACCTGATGGAGCTTCTCTGCCCACTAGTTAGTGACGGAGGTGTTGCTCCTTTTTGCTTTGCCTCACTCCTTGGTAAAGAAGAATAAATTATAAAGTCATGTCTTGTTGAGCAAAGGACTGGTTTGTTTAAGGCTCATTTACCTCTGTCCATCCTTGGCCACCTGCCTCTTTTTATTATTTTTTTTTTTTTTTTTTTTCCCCCCAGCCACATAGTAAGAGGTCTTGTGGTGCTGTGTAGGTTATCCCTCTGAACACTCACTTGCAGGCATGAGCTAAATGTGTATTCTATCTGTGTAGTAGGATATACTAATCTTTATCTGTGAGGTGAAGTTTAGTACTGTGAAGAGCAGGGAGTGGGACTTGGTGATCCTTATGGGTCCCTTCCAGCTTAAGTTATTGTATGATTATGTGAAATTTTCAAAGCAAAAGGTATGCAGTGGTGGTGCAATGATGTGATACTGTTAAAGCCCTACTTTAAAAGGTACATGTCATGTAATTAGAGACTGTGTCTTCAGTAAGAAAATTTAGACTCTAATTTTTAATTTTTTATGCTTTTAAAAACTACTTCAGTGTTTGACACACAAAGTTAACACACTGTCACATAGTTGACATAGGCCTTTTTCAAAATCAAAGGTAGTTAAAGAAACTGTGTTGCTGTAATGCAAATAAGAAAAGGAGGCTGAGTGCCTATTTTAATAGTTTTTCAATGGAAAATCATGGAACTGCTGAGGTTGGAAGTGACCTCTTGAGATCATTTAGTCCAACCCTGCTGGTCAGACAGTGCCAGCTGCAGCAGGTTGCCCAGGTCCAGTCAGGTTCTGCATATCTACATAAGGTGGGGAATGTACACGCTCTCCAGGCAGTCTATTTCAGCGAATTTTTTTTGTGTGTTCAGATGGTATTTCTTAATTTGTGTCCATTGACTAATCGCTCTTCTAAATGTGAAGAGATCATATTTAGAAATTCAGATGTGTGAATCAAAATTCAGATGTGTTACCAGAAATACGTGTAGTGTATTGCTCCTTGGAAAGAAGTTCGGTGTTTTCCAAACCGTTAACAAAGTTCACAGATTGGTAACTGGTTGGGTGACAAACTTCACACAGAAGTAACTAACTTTGTTTCTTTGCACCTGTAGGTATTCTCGGAGCCTCATGGTTCAATGCCCCATGGGTTCTGTCTGGGGCTGTGTGGAGTGTCTTGGTTCTTGTTCTGTTGAAATACTAACGAGGTAATTAGGGTCAGCGCTCTTAGTTGTTGACTTTCACGAAGTGAATAAGCAAAAAAAAAAAATAAATAATAAAGGAGCCTCAATTTTGACACTTTCATAATAATGAACTAATAAACCAATTAATGACAAGTTAATGCAAATTTCTATCTTTGTGTGTGTGTGTGCACAATATATATGTGCCACAAGTGCAGCAGTGAGCCTCTGTATTATGAAACAAAAAGTATATGCAGCAAACATGTTTAAGTAATGGAAGCATTCTTAAGCTTGGCTGCTTGCCTGCTTGTGTTGTCTGGCTGCTGTGTAAATAGCTGCACTGACAGCCTTCCATGCCTAGAGCTGTTATTGAGCTGATACTTACCTCTGAGCCTGTGTGTTAGGGGAGTTGATGTGTTTCATCCATAACCTCTTGATTGTAACTGGGCTGTGGCATTTGCTGGTCTTGTCTGTCCTGCAGATTTGCTTGCTCATGAGAGCCATGGAGAAGTATCATCACCCAGTCCGGCTCTGCCTCTGCTGTGGATTTGCCTTATGCCAACAAAGCTCTGCTCTGCAAGTGCATCTGGCTTCACTTTGGGGAAATACGGCTCAAATATCCAGCCCTTCACAGCTGGCTTTGTGCATGGGAGAGTGCTTTGTTGATGCAGTACAGTGTTTAGCTTGTACATGTTCACTGAAGCATCACCCTGTCCGTTTGCTCTCAGGTGTCTGACCTGCTGCTCTGTCTCAACTGACGGCCCACAGAGACAGGAGAGGGAGGACAGGGTCAGGGCTTTGGCTGGTTCTGCAGCCTGAATAAGCCTCGCTGTTGGGATAAAGCCCAGCCTGTTTTTTAAGCGAGTGTGGCACTGCAGGAGCATTAATAAGGGAAGGGCTGACCAGTGCATGGTAATAATACTGTTGAGTTGGAAAACCAACTAAGAAAAGAAAGGAATGGTTTAGGCATAAGGAATAATAACAGTCATCAATGGAAGTGTCTCTGTTTCCAGTCTAGGAGTTCTTTACCAGAAATGTTTCATTTTTACAGCTAATTGATCTGTATTGCCCCATGGACACATCAGGATCTGCGGCAGTTCACATGTATATAGTCAGTGTTACTGTATCTTCTTGCTCTATTAAATGGATCCAGAGCCAGTGTATCATGTTAGATCACTCACCCTGACTTCAGTCTAGGACAGGCTTTCCAAAATACAGCTAACATGTTTGGAGTTCCAGTGCCCTAGTTCATTGCTTGTAAGGGGTATCAGGCTTGCTCTGAGTGGACTGATCCATTGCCCTGTGGCTGTGCAGTTGCTTCCTGGTGTGTTTGAGGATTGCTGAGCTCCTCCAAGAGGTTGCGCCTGAGGGGAGGTGTTTCTTCTGGGGAAGGCTATCCTTGCTGAAGGCACAGATCTTGTGCTTTCAGGCAGTTGTGACCATGCCTCCAGAGGAAGTAGGGTCTTGGCTTTGAATGCTGGTGGTAGTTGCAGCCAGATGGACCAAGATTAAGGGCTTGTATGTTACAATACCAGTTGTGTTTTATTGCTGCTGTTGTGGGAAGAAAAGGAACAGATTTTGATTATAGGAATGTTTGGAATATTTTTTAAGTTCCACAAAATTAGTGAAGTTCCTGGTGCAGTGCAGTACTTGAAATCAACGTGACAGACACTGTTCAAGATTCTTTCTCTAATTTTGTTTTGTTAGCAGTTCAAAGATGAAAATTTATATTTGTGTATTTGTTCATTGTGGAAGAAGAGGAGGAAAACAAAGCAGGAAACAAACTGAGTTATATTCCCAGTGGGCAAACTGTAATGATAGGCTTGAAAAAGTCCAATATGTGGTATGCTTAGTTCCTGTTTTAAGAGCATCCACTGTATTTGTGGCTGGAAATTTTTCTTGTGTGTTAGAACTGAAAAGGAGAATGTAAATATGACTTAAGTTGACATAAATGGTGTGTGTGTGCGTGCACAGGATGTGTGTGACAGAGGACTCTTTCACTGCCTCAGCCCTCTGTGTGAGTGCACATGGCTGTCTACCACTTCAGGTACCTGCATTTTCCAGGAAACTGAAGAAGTCCCAGTGTTCTCCATTAGTTTGTTGATAGTGGTGTCCTCTCCTTCAGGGACTGGAGTGAGCCAGCGCTACATGTTTAAAGGCAGGTGCTGTTCCTAAAAGTGACATTGTGCAGTTCTGCACAGGAAAAGCAGGTTTCTCCCAGCTAGCCATCTCCAGGCATTTTGCGGAGGATACTTACAAGTGTAGTATCCTGCTCCATACATTCTCTTTAAAGTTCATTCTTTTATTTAGCTGAAGCATCTGGCATTGGAAGGGACATGGTGTAGCTGCTGCTAGTGTGTGCTGCTGCTAGCCTTTTTATCTCTATGGTTACTCAAACTTGCAATATACTCCCCAAAGGCTTGTCTTCCTGGGAAAGTAGGGCCAGATTTATTTCTCAAGCAAGGTAGTTAAACCCACTAAATCCTGTGTAGGTATGTCCACTGCAAATTTAAATGGCCTTAATTTGATTGAAATAATTTATGAAATGCTTGGGAATGTTTTTATGTGGAAATAGTTAATGTGGTTTAGCATATCTGTTTTAAATTTATATTGTTTTGTTAGGGGAATTTTTCCTCTGCTGAGCATCCTTGTGTGGATAACCCTCTCATATTGCATACCTGCAGTAGTGGATGTGTGAAAGGTCATGTAAAGTGTCACTAAACTCTAGAATTTGAGTCCTTGGAGTGGGCAGATAGCACTGGTATTTCTTAGATGGTGCAAGCTCATATCTGTGTCCTACTGCAATGGTTAAATAACTATCATTAGCTCCTACTTGGTGGTTCTTCAGCATTAGCTGCAAGTAATATTTCTTCCCTTAAACAGAACACTTTATTGTCTAATGATTTCGTTATCTCTATATAACTGAAGCGATTAAGAATACAACAGTGGTTTTCTTTCCTCAACTCTTCCCTTTTACAGATGAACCCTATGAATGTGTGTGTGAAGGCATGTCCTGTGGGAATGGAGATCGATGCCAAGGCCAGCAATGTTTTGCTTCCCTGAGCATTAATGATGGTGCTAAGGTTTACCAGAAAGGCTGCTTCCAAGTCTATGAACAAGGGAAAATGACGTGCAAAACACCCCCGTCTCCTGACCAAGCTGTGGAATGCTGCCAAGGATACTTGTGCAACATGAATATCACTGCGCAGTTGCCTTCCTCTAAAGGTGAGAGGCTTATTAATAGTGAATTTGGAGAAAGAAAAGTTTTGCTTTTGTGTGATGTGAGATGGTTTCAGCACTAGCCAAAGTAAGGCTTTAGTCAATGCAGTAAGGCCCTTTTGACTTTGTTCCTCACCCTGAGGTCCACTGGCACATGTCTGTCCACATGTTGCATGGTCCGTATGGCTGGACGAATGATAGTGGTTAAAGTGTGCAGTCAGGCTTGAGTTACTGCCTGTGAGTGAACTGCTCAGTCACAGGTGGGTTTGTTCTCAAGGGTCAGGATTGTTATGTCTGCTCTGCAGGGAGTTGCTGTGGTAGTATCCTCTGTGTGAGTGCACACTTGTAGCTCTGGCTGTGTCACAGACTCTCTTTCAGACTAGATGGCTAGCAAGTGTTGGTGTCAGTGCTACTGCTTTTAAAGAGTTTCTCTGGAAATATGTAATTTATTTTTTTTTTTCCTCTCTTATCCTCCCCCACCCCCCTTTTCCCCTTCTCTCTCTTTTCCAAGGGCAAACCTTTCAAGGTGAAGCTGCAGGTTACAGCATGGAAACACTAATCATCGTTATACTGGCTCCTGTGGTAGTGTTAATAGTTTTTTCAGCAGTAGCTGTGCTGGTCATCCGGAGAATACAGAAAAACCATATGGAGAGGCTCAATTCTAGGGATGCAGAATATGGCACAATTGAGGGACTCATTGCATCAAATGTTGGAGACAGCACGTTGGCAGTAAGTAACCAGCATGTATGGTGAAAATTCATGTGAGCTTCCTTCGCTTCTGAACTTCCCTCTAGTACCCTCCAGACATGGCCACGTCAATAACAGGACCCTTTGCTGCCAGGGATGCCACTTAGTACCAGGACTTATGTAGCGACATTCCTGTGCTCGCGAAGGTATAGTTTAAATGAAATTTAACCAAAAGATAGTTTTCATAAATATAGCTCCTTTGACCTGCAGAATTGTTATAAACTAGTCAACTGTTTGTTCCTAGAAGCAGTGTCTAAACACCAAAATGAAGAATGCCTGACTGCTGCGTAGCCTGAAGTGGTATGAAAGGTGTAGAAATGTATTGCGTCTTTGAGATATGAAAGATAGCCTGTAAGGTTGGAAAAGATGTGGTGCTGGGGGAAGAAGAAAGTACGGGTAGTTTAAAACTTCAAACCCAACTCTCATTATCTTAACAGAAGGGCTTTTGGATGACTAGGAAATTGGTGAAATTTTATTGATGGAGAAGCGGTAGGAATTTTAAGAAATGAGAACTGCTTACTCAAAATTGTTTTTTAAAAATATGTTCTTGTTCATGCAGTCTCTAGAAAATGAAATGACGTGGGGAAGTGTTTGCGTTTTAAAGACTTAATGTATCTTACCCTTTCAGTGGGGGCCAGTGTTCTCAAGCAGCTTTCCCATGCTGTGTCTTAACTGAGCAAGTAAGTCTGCAGAGGCAGCTTGAGTGTTTGTTTCCAAAACCAATGAAAAGAGAAGTTTTCTCCTCCTTGTATTTCTAAGGTGAAATCTCTTCATTAGGAGTTTGGAAAACATTTTCATTTTGGTGCTTTCCCACCCTAATGTGCTTTTACTGCAGGGCTGAAAATGGGCTAAAGAAAAATGGTCCAAACCCCAAATATTTTTTTTTTTTTTTTATAAAACATTACTAAATACATCATCTGGGTATTTTCTTTCTGTGTTTTTGGCTGTGTTCCTCTCTGTAGGAGGAAGAAACTGAAATGGGTATTTGTTTAAGTGTAGAATTGCCTTCAGTATTTTCCTTAGAATAAAGTGTTAGTTACCATCAACTAGGGAAGCAATTTTGACTATGTCCAAAAAATACTCCAGAAAGCGGTTGTACCTTTTTACCTGAAAATTGACAACTGCTTTGCAGGCCCAGCTATGGAAATTTATTAAAAGAAACATCCATGGGACTCCTCAAGAAAATGAAGTATTTTAGGCAGCTGGAAACTATTTCTTGCATCTCTTTGTTTTGAGGCAGTGATGCTTCTATAAAATACTGCTGTGAATAAGTGCTGCAGGGGTCACATGGAAAAGCCTTTCATTCACAAGGCAGTACATCCTGACAAGTAAGTTTTCAGGGTTTGAGATGGCTGGTAAGGGATACTGCTGAGGCAGGGAACATTCCTTTTTTTAAGGACAAATAAGTTAAAACTGAGTTACCAGACTTATGGTGATCCAGATGCCCCAATATACACTTTTGAAACAGCCTATGTAGGGAACAAGTAAGTAAATCAGTGCTTCAGTCAGGAAGAAGAGCTTGGTTATCTTAAGGAGGTGTGGGGTGTGATGGAGATGCACAGTGTGGCAAGGGATAGGAGAGGATGGATGGGAATCGGCTTGTTTGCCTTCTGCAATATGGTAATGGGAAGGCATCAAAATTAGCATGTAAGAGCAGGGATAAATATGAGGAAGGTGGTTCTTAACACAGTGTTAATGGAACCAGTGGAACTCCTTACCTGATGATTTTTCTAGGTGCTACAGGTTTGTATACATTCAAAGAGCAACAGGATGAAAAGATATATAAAACAAATATCAAAAAATCCAGCTAAGGAAGTTCCTTAGCTCAGTGTGCTTGGAGACTGGGGGAGCATTAGAGGAAAATATCCTGTATGTTAAAGCATTCCCATATTCACTTATAATTCACTCCACATTTAGTATCCAATAGTCTAATATCCTAGTGCCCCTATATAGTTCCATTTATCTAATATTCCTGTGTCTAGTACTCCAATTTGCTGCACTGGTAATACGCTAATAAAGGGCATGGGTTTTGGGTATGGTCAGAGACAAAATACTGATCTAGAGGGACTTCAGGGTGGCTATTCTGGTAAGAGTTTTGGCTTCTAAATGCTAGCTTCCTTAGTAAGATGGAGCAAGGGAAATTGCCTTTGAGCTTAACGTGTCCAGACACTTCATGGGACTGCAGTATCAGCTGTGGTGCAAACTGCAGCAGCTTTCTGTTGCTGCCCTGCTAGATTGCTTCAGCTTGGGCCTAGATAAACTATACTTGGTAATCTTTTTTCAATGCCTTTGGGTTTCTTTAATTAACCCAAAGGCCTGATTCTGTGTTACTATTGAAAACCAGCCAGTTTTGATGTGTTCACCATGAATTAGGCATGTGTGCAATTGTTTATCTGTCTTCAAGCACTGACTTCCAGCTCTTAACTCTTATCAGTGCAAGACCATTTCCATTCCATTTGCAAACGTTTTGCACATCAAGTCATTTAATGTTACTTGGAAACGGTGATAAAACCTGAGAAGAATAAATCAAAATTCTTTTAAAAAGAAAGTGGAGAAGTTGCTAACTGTAAAGGCTTGGTCTGATGGAGCTGGTTTGTGTTCGGCTGTCAGACACTCTAGCTTTACGATCGGTGTGCCTCTGGTGTGCATCTTGAGTGCTGGTGATGAGAGGGGGAAAAAACCACAGATAGTTTCTTGTTTCTGAAAGTTAATCTAAACAGTAAGTAGTCTTTAAATTCCAGATTTTTCTTTTCCATTGTGTGGTTTAAATTGCTGGGTTTGTTACACATGAGATTAGTTTACATTTAGGATTAGTCTCCATAGTGTAGCAAATGCTTGAAGCACTAAGCTTCCTAATGGGGAATGGAAAGGGCTGTGGCCTCTTCAAATCTTGTTTTTACAGTCATTGCAGATAAGTTTAGGGTGGGTTTTTTTTGGTTGGTTGGGGTTTTTTTTTTGTGTGTGTTTGTTTTTTTTTTTTTTTTTGTTTTGTTTTTTGTTTTGTTTTTTTTCTTTCCTTTTTGCCTTCATACAAGCGGGAAGGAAAATGAGCTCTCAGCTTGTATTAAAAAGCAAAATAGCGGTCTCCTGGTATTACATTATCTTTTTCTTGAGCACTCATTAAAAAATTGTTAGAAGAAAGGTTTCATCTGGTTAAAGCCCAGTAGTACAGTTTGCTGGAAATACTAGGAAGTTGATTGTGCTTATGCTTGCCTTTTTTTTTTTTTTTTTTTTTTAAATCCCGTTTTCCTTTGTAAAGAAAAAAACCCAAAACCCTCCAGTAAGGTGGTAGTTAATGCTTTGAAAGTAGTGTGGAAGTCCCAGCCATAAAAGTAGCTGTGTATTAGTACTTTAAAAGGCTAATAGGATTTTAACATTCAATTAGAATCTCAGTCATGGTTTGTTGTTGGTTGTTTGGTTGGTTTTTTGTTTTGTTTTTCTTTTAGTAAGCTTACAGTTTCAAGTCTGGTTTCCATGCACTAAACATTCCCATAAACAGACAAAAACTTTAAGAAAGACTTGTTACAGAAAATTTTCTGGAGTATTGTTGTGGTTTAAGCCCAGCTGGCAACTTGGAACCACGCAGCCGCTCGCTCACCCCCCCCACTACAATGACATGTAGTGATACAGGTTAACCTTCTATCACCTTGTCCCTTTTCAAACCATTTTCAGTTATAAATAACTGTACCAAACTTGAATAGTTTGAGCCAAAACTTTCCATGACTGTTAACTACCACAGAATGGCTTTTTTTTTTTTTTTTGGTTTGGGTTTTTTCTTTTTTTTTTTTTTTTTTCCTGGGGGGCTTTTAACATCTAGCATGGTGCAGCTGCCATAGGGAAGGAGGCTTATGACAAGTTATTTGGGTGTTGTCTTTTAAAGAAGTTCTGATTTGTGGCAGAGAATTGAGATTTATCAGAGAACGCCCTGGGTGCCAGATGTGCTTGTGGCTGTTCCTCTCGGGGCTCTGTCTTCAGCCACTTCAAACGCTTGTATAAATCATCTGTTGATGTGAGTCTGTTCCCCCATGGATGCTGCATGGGGCTCTGCATGGAGTCAGGGCACAATTCCTCCCCATGCCAAGGCTGAAGGAGAGCCTGTAGTTTGGGAGTAACAGTTTTCTATCGTCTCAATTTTCTGCAAAATGCATGTGAAAAAGCTGTAACCAAAGCATGCATCTCTCTTCCCCTTTCTGGGGGTGTAGCTTCTGTAGCTACTGCTTTTTGCCCTTCTGTAGAGGATACATCTACTTATTACTCTGTGTCTGCAAATCTTAACCTGGCAGATTTCCTCCATAACGGTGAAGTTAGGGAAGAAAATTTATAAGAAACTGAGTGTTGTCTTTTAAAGGAGTCCTAGGTTTGGGCAGTAAACCAGAAGTTTGCCAGCAGTTCCCACTGTCAATAGCAGAGTGGGGCACGCAGGAGCAAGGCGGTGAGGATTGCTGCAGCAGCTTTCCTCCTGCTCTGCTACAGCTGAAGCTCCCCTTTGCAGGGCTGTGTATTTCTGTAAAACCATGCTTAGACTCTAAAGGGGGGTGGAAAGGAGCGTATAGGCAGTGGGGGTGGGGCCTGAGCTTCTGTGCAAGCTCACCCGCTGGTTCAGCCCTTCCGGAAGGGTTTGGTGTTGGGGTGCTCGCCTGCCACACCTGCTGGAGTATGCTTCAGGGAGGTTCAGTGGGAGAGCACAGCAGCATCCAGGCCTCTAGCCCTAGTGAGGTCAGTGACCTTGATGCACCATTAAAAACTGAGGGAAAACGTCTCCAGAAGAATAGACTCACATGCCTTTCAACAGATGTTTTATACCACAAGCGTTTGAAGTGGCTGAAGACAGAGCCCCGGGAGGAACAGCCACAAGCACGTCTGGCACCCAGGGCGTTCTCTGATAAATCTCAATTCTCTGCCACAAATCAGAACTTCTTTAAAAGACAACACCCAAATAATTTGTCATAAGCCTCCTTCCCTATGGCAACTGAACCATGCTAGATGAACAGTCCCTCAGGAGAAAAAAAAAAAAAAAACCAAAACAAAAACAAAACAAACAAACAAAACCAAACCAAACAAAAAACCCCTCCAAAAAGCCATTCTGTGGTAGTTAACAGTCATGGAAAGTTTTGGCCCAAACTATTCAAGTTTGGTATAGTTATTTATAACTGAAAATGGTTTGAAAAGGGACAAAGTGATGGGAGCTGTGGGTTGTCACCTTTCTTCTTGGCTTACACAGACCCAAATGACGCTCATCTGTAGGTTTTTTGGGGTTTTTTTTCAGCAAAACTGACTCTCCTCCCTATATTGCTTCTGAGAAAATGGCCAACTGGGCACGGAATGTGTGCAGGCCACACAATCTGGATTAAAAAGGTGCTGAAAAAGCAAGTTGTATTGCAGGAATATGTTGGCTTTGTCTTACCATTTCACTTAAAAACTTGCAGCAGTAGCTGTTTCTAGAGTCTGTTTATAGTAAGTAAAGTTCAGTTCTGAATGTGTCTTCTTAATACATATTTATTCATAAGGATTAGTAAAATAGATTTTGAGAGTATCCTATACCAGAGTTTGGTGGGACTGGGACATGACCTTAGTTATAATTAGCAAAAACACATTTGTGTTGCTGTGGCCTCCTGGTCTTCTTTTCTAGGAGGAAACTCCAGGTCGCTGGAAGAATGGGAAAATTCTGAAGGAGTGTTCAAATGTAACTGCTGGTTTTCTTCCTGCTAACTGTATAGGGATGAAAGTTTTGGGCATAGAAGTCAGAGAAAGCAAGTCTATTTCTTTTTGAGGTGGCTCAGATTTTTCCTGTAGTTTTCTGTGTCTTGCAATAAAATGTTGTTGCTAAGCTATTTGAATTAGGTGACATACAGACCTGAGAGAGCATAAGCTAAATAAGAGAGTGAAGTGCTGGAGCAGGATGGAATTTCACCACAGAGGATAGCTTGTGGGTTGTGAGTGAGCTTCCAGGTTCACAGGCAGTAAATTTATTGTAATTTATTTAACAGAACTGCAATGGCCAAATGTAAGATAGAGACAGAATAAGAAATCTGAGAGTGCTTGATTTGTTTGCTGTTCCTTGTTGTTGTTTATAAAACTTCCAAGAGAAAGTGATTATGATGAAGTTACAGTTCCCCTACCAGTCTCGTCTAGGCATGGGATGTTCTCTGACGTGGTAAGATCTTGTGTAAAAGCATCTCTGTCCATGTGTATGGTGATGGCAACAGCATGTCTTGACTCCTAATTGACCTGATGACATCACCAGAGCCATTGAGATACCAATGGGCTTCAATTTAACCTGTCCTGTGAATTGGCATATTTAAATGGGGGGGGTGTGTGGAATTACAGTTTCTCATAGGTTGTAATCTTCTGCTTTTCTTTTTGGACAGGATTTATTGGACCATTCCTGCACATCCGGAAGTGGTTCTGGACTTCCTTTCTTGGTGCAAAGAACGGTGGCTCGCCAGATCACACTCGTAGAGTGTGTAGGTGAGTACAATTCTTGTTTGCATTTAGTGCCAAGTCTTGGCAACAGTGCAGAGAGAAAGCTTTATCTCCATCCTAATCAACTGGTTTTCCTCAGTTGCTTATATAATATACAAAACTTCAGGCTTCAGCTGATGGAACATACTTGGTTTTAGAAAGTGAAGTGAAAAAGTTCCTTTCAGATCTATGCAGAAGAAAGGGGCAAGTGTCATCTGTGCTTTATGACTGAAAAATTTAAGCTCTGTTTAATAAGGTCATTTTAGGAAATACAAATCAGGCTTGTTTGGGCACTTTGTAAACTAAATAGAAAAGCAGGGTCAATTTGAAGTTTGAAACTGTGAAACAAACATGCTCATTAACTAGTGCTCAATTAGATTTAGGATTAGAAAAGAATCCACCTGGATTTGAGATCTGGAGTTGAAGCATCAAGCTAACATGTCATTTTAAAACAAACAAACAAAAAAACACACCTCAAACCCCCCCCCCCCAAAAAAAAAAAAAACAAACCAAAACCCAACCAAACAAAAATCCCACAACTGATTTTGTGCTATTAGAATGGGAACATACAGTTCTCTTGTTCTGCAGTGTTATTTTGGGACACCTTGCAGGCAAGGATATACTATTGCTGCTCTTTTCCCCCTTAAAGAGAAAATATCTCTGGTAATTCTACCCTAAAACTCTTCTGGGTCTTTATTTTTTTTGCAGGACATTTAATTTTAAGGATCCATTAGATTTTTCTTCAGCATATATATGTTATTAATAATGGTAAATTTGAGTATAGTCTTGTTAAGAAGCATTTGGGTTAAAGATACACCAGGGCAGTGACATTGAGATGAGATGCTGTACTGGACCTAAAGAGGTGAGGAAGGTTTGATAATGATTGATCCTAGTAGGAAAACCAGCCTGTGTATGAATATATTTTTATGCTGCCGCTTTAGTGATTTGAACTCAGAACAAGTTAACACTTTCCTGTAAATTACTAGAAGTTTTAATTCATCGGGTGCTAAATCCAGCCTGACTATAACAGATGAATGTGTGAATCTATAGGGACTGGGTCTGCACTTTACCAGTTTCTTTGCTTTTGGCTTATAGTAAGTATTGAGTAGGCACAAGTGTTAATGCTTGCATTAAATCCAAATGTACCTTCTCTGCAGTTTCTTTTCATCAAGAACTGTAGAACATGGTATGCATGATGATTTTGCCTCCAAGAGAGACATCCTTTTGTGCATGTATATGCGTGTGAATCAGTGTGAGTCCCTGGAATTGTGCCTGCTCCCAAGTTAACCCAGGCTAGCACTATTTCCAGAGACCATGTGTTTGAGCCTGTATAGCAGACCAGATGAAAGCACTTATGCAGGAAGTATCTTCTGGGTGGTGGCATTGAGACATCAGTGTTGGGAATCTCTCCCCATTTGGTTGTGTCTGCTGCTTACTCATACATGCCTCTGAAGAACACTGAACAGCAGAGCAGTGAAGGGCAGAACTCAGGTACTTACTGTTGTCCAATCTAGCAGAACTTGTTGCACGAAGCCTGAGGCTGTTCTGTTCAGGCAGTGATGAAAGTGGGAATGATCAGAACTTTTCCAGTGTGCTTTGTCCAGGACATTGCTTTGCTCTTGGCTACTTGATAATTTCATACATTTCTTCTAAGCTGTTTGGGTAAAAAGCCTGGCGTGCAAGCCAGTGTGTCCTGACCTCCACAGAACAGAGGTGGGTTTGGGGTTTTTGTTGGTGGTTTTTTTGGGGGGGTTCTTTTTTGGTTGTTTTTTTTTTTTTGTTGTTGCTGTTGTTGTTGTTTTTTGGTTTTGGTTTTTTTTTTTTTTTCTTTAATATGTTGGGGGTTTGTTTGTGGTTTTTTGGTTTCTTTTTTCCTTTGGGTGGGGTTTTTTGTTGAGGTGTTTTGGGTGGTGATTTTTTTTTGTTTTTTTTTTTTTTTTGGTTGTTTGGGGGTTTTTTTGTTTTTGTTTTTGGGTTTTTTTAGATCTTCATTCTGCATTTTATGTGTCTGGCTGTGCTGACTGCTTCTGCAAGGGCTAACGATGTAATAAAAATGTAAAGACTGTACCCCCAGCGTTTTATGTCCTTCCTGTCCTAGCTTCAGAATTCATAGATTTACTTGCATTGTGTACACCAGCCTTGTAGTGTGCTGCCTAAGTTTCTTAAGCTGCAGAAGCGGTTTCATTGCTGGTAGTTGAATGATTACACCTGCCCAGTATTAACCCTCTGGATGCTGTTCCAGTGTGAAAGGAGCAGAGGTCCATACTCAGAGCTTGCAATTGAAACAAACAGGAAAAATTAAGGGACACTAGAGCACAGCCTAACTGTAGAGTGGTATGCAGGGGTGATCCAACTACACCAATGTGGTATTTGGGCCATAACTGTTACTTCTATTCTATTAGCTAACCCTGTCCTAAACTTACGAAGATTGTTAATTGACAGCTTTTACTGTGCTTTCCCCCACCAGGTAAGGGCCGTTATGGAGAAGTTTGGAGGGGTCAGTGGCAAGGAGAAAATGTTGCTGTGAAGATCTTCTCTTCTAGGGATGAAAAATCCTGGTTCAGGGAAACTGAATTGTACAACACTGTATTGCTGCGGCATGAAAATATTTTAGGTGAGTTGGACAACCATATTCATGTGTCCTGGTGTAGCTGGTGTAAAGGTGAGTTAACTGAACAGTTTGCTTGTGAAGTACTGCACTTTTGACAGGTATCTTGTAAAGAATGTAGGTGCAACAGACCTGTGTTCTAGGAATTCACCCTTGCAGCTGCTCTGCAGGACAGCCAAATGGCCAAAGTGTGTTGCACAGTGTGTTAGGTGTAGAAGATCTAGTGGATCTGTGTTTTCTACTAACTTCAGCTTACCTGGAAGAAATGAAGGGAGAAAAAATGGAGAGGACTTTACAGTGAGATTTAAGTGTTTGAATACTTTTCCTTGTGCCTGAATAAATTGCAGTGGCAATCTATTATTTTCTTCTGTTTAACTGTTCTGCTCAGGGTCAAATTAAGCTCCCTTGGTTTTTAATTTTCAACTGGAGTTGCCCCTTTGTGATGTATCTCATTTCCCTGTAATATGGAAGTTCAATGATTTTGAATCTTCTATATCCCTTGTAATTTGTCTGCTCTGTTCTAAGAGCTTGGCAAATGGCTTTTTTGTATTGTGAGCCATGGCTGAAGTCTAAGCAGCCCTTCTGATTCCTAGCAGATATGACCTTTCACTGGTGTGCCACCTTTACAAATAAAAGCAGCAGCGTGTTTTCTGAGTGCTGACATTACCTCACCTGCAATCTGTCTGCCTTCAATCAGTTTTACTTGGGCTCCTTATTCTTGTTTCCTGTCAGAGAATATTCCTTGGCTCTATAGCTCAGCCTGCCTAGACGTTTGTCTAACGTTTCCTGAAGCAGTTCCTTTGTTACTACAAAAGTAATTTGGTGGCCTCCTGAAATGTGAATTATTGAACTTTACTTCCCGAGAGAGCAAGTAACTTGGCTGAAATTACATTACACATTTCCCATGTTCCTCTGTCTGTGTTTAGTCTTTCTTGATAACTGTCAAATTTGTCGGCTATTTTATAGAATTTTTTTAGATGCAATATTAAACAATATCACAGATTACGAAAGTGTCTTATTGTTGCAGAAATCTGACATCAGTAGAGAAAGTAGTGGGTGTTCTTTCTGACAAATGTCATATGTGGGCTTTTAATAAACATGATTTGGTCCTCTAACTTGGGAATAAAACTTTTGTTGCTTCTCAGATACAGCTGTTGAGGTCAACAGTGTGCTGTTGATACCTCTGAATTTAGTGTGCAACTGAAAGGGTGCTACTCCTAAATTTTGGGTTCAGTTTTAAGACAGCTCTTTCTTGAAAGCAGTTCTTGAAGTTCATGAGTTACAAAGAGAAATTTTTCTCTGTTCCTTGGTAGAAAATCGTTGTGAATTACAGCTGTGATGCTTGAAGTGCTCTGCCTTCTTTCACCATGGAAGTCAGTTGCACACCAATTGAACTGTCTAGTATTTGAAGTAGAATAATTACTCTTCTTTGGTTTTCATTATGTTAATCTTCTGGTGCTGTCACAATCTCCTTTGCCATTTGCCACTTTTTATATCCTGTGGCTCCCACGTGAGCTGCTGAATGGTTAAGGTGATCAGATATTTGGAACCCACAGCAGTTTAGAGCAGTCCCATGGGTCTGAGGGTTTATTGGGCTGCAGCAATCCCTCTGCAGCCTTTTAAGCAATTGGAGATCATTGGAGAGCAGGTTGTTGCTGTGGTGAGATACGCTTTTTTCAACCTATATTTGGTCAGAAGGGTGTAATGTACCATGTGGGGACAGCAAGCTTGTGACATGTCTCTAAATTGGAGAGACATCAATTT